AGGAGTGAGACATGAGATTTAAATTTTTAAAAGTACTTTGTGATAGCTAATATTGGGAGCTTGAACAAGGGTGGAGATGGCAAAAAGTCAACACATTTGAGAGATTGGGAAGTAAAAGCATGACAAACAGATTTCTGGCTTGTGCAGTTGATGGGTGTTGCTGATGATCTCTGAAATAATGAATCCTGGGAGAGGACCAGATTTTTAGGCAGAGGAAAGATTTCAATTCAGTTTTGGACAGTTTGAGTTGATATGAGAGCCTTTAAGACGTTTAAAGCTGTGGGAAAGAAAATGGAAGCTGAAGGATACAACATCACAGGTCCATTTGAGCAGAGTTGAAAAGATGGCTGATTTAAAATTAATGTAAGAAAAAGCTTTCCTATATTCAAATAACCATTAGAAAATGCAGTGAAAGGAACACTTCCATTCATAATAGTAACAAAGACAAAACATTCAAGAATAAACCCAATTAGAAATGTAGAAAACTTTTATGAAATTCTTTAAAACCTCACTTAAGGACATTAAAGAAAAATTAATAAATGGATAAATATACTACATTCAAGAATAGAAATATACCATATTGTAAAGAGGTAAATTCACCTCAAATTTATTTATGGAGTAATTTTTTTAACTTGCTCAAAATGGTTCTTAAGTTCAGTGGGAAAAATAAGCATGTGAGACTAGCCAGGAAAATGCTAAATGAAGAGTAATGATGAGGTTTTAGGAACATGTATTTTCTATTTACACATTTTCCAGTTTTCATTTTTTACAAGTATGTATTTTCTAATTAAAGAAACAAGAAATAAAACACCATAAGAAGCTGTAATAAACTATGACCTATCCACAAAAAATAGACTGAAAAATGTGTATATATGTATGTGTGTATATGTGTGAATATATAGGCATTTGTGTGTGTATACATGGTGTATTTACATTGGAAAGGAAGGGTATAGAGAATATAATGAATAGGAAGTATGACTATCAACTATATAGAAATAAAAAGGATTATCAGGGAATACTGTAAATAACTGTATGCCAACAAATTGATAACATGTGAAATCAACCAATTTCTAGAAAGACTCAAAGTATCAAAGCTGATGCAAGAAGAAATGGAAAAATCTTATAGACGTATAAAAAGTAAAGAGATTGGATTAGTAACTAGTCTACAGAAAAAAGGACCAGGCCTAGATGACTTATTGGTGAATTCTACAAAACATTAAAGAAGAATGAATTCCATTTCTTCACAAACTCTTCTGGAAAAAAAAGAACAAGAGGGAATACTTTCCAACTCATTTTATGATTCTGTATCATCCTGATACAAACAAACAAACAAACATACCTACAGACCGATATCCCTTATGAATATAGACAAAAAAATTCCTCAACAAAATATTATCAAACTGAATACAGCAGCACATTAAGGGTTATGCACCATAACCATGGAATTTATCTCAGAATGCAGGATTGGTTTAACATCTGAAAATCAATGAATGTGCTACATCCTATCATTAAATAAAGGACAGACACCAGATTATCATCTCAAGAGATGCAGAAAAAGCATTTGACAAAAGCTAACGCCCCTTTATGATAAAAACATTCAACACACTAGAAACAGAAAAAAAACTTCCCCAATCTAATAAAGGGCACCTGTGAAAAACCCACAGCTAACATCATACTCAAATGCCTTGCTCCTAAGATCAGGAACAAGACAGGAATTCCCGCTCCTTCTATACAATCTTGTATTGGAGGTACTGGACAGTTAGGCAAGAAAAAAAGAAAAGGCATCCAGATCGAAAAGGAAAAATATCTCTATTTACAGACGGTGTGATCTTACATACAGAAAATTCAAAAGAACACAAATTCGAGCCAATCAATGAGTTCAACAAAGTTGTAAGATACAAGTTGAATATACAAAAATCAGTTGTATTTCTGTACACTAGAAATGAGCAATCTGAAAATGCAATTTAGAAAACAATTTCATTTGCAATAACATCAAAAGGAATAAAATACTTAGGAATAAGTTTAATCAAAGAAGTATAAAATTTATACTCTGAAAATTATAAAACAAAGTTATAATTAAAGAAAATACAAATAAATGGAAGACATCTCATGTTTATGGATTTGAAAATTTAGTATTGTAAAGATAACAATACTCCCCAAATTTACCAATGGATTCAGTGAAATTCCTATCAAAATCCAGGCTGCCTTTTTGGGAGAAATTGACAAGTTGATCCTAAAACTCGTATGACAGCCCGGCCAGGCATGGCTCAGCAGTCGAGCATCAACCTAGGATCCAGGAGATCAGGAGATCACAGTTCGATTTCCGGTCAGGACACATGCCCGTGTTGCAGGCTTGATCCCCAGTCGGGGGTGTGCAGGAGGCACGACTCTCTCATCATTGATGTTTCTCCCTCTCCCTCTCCTTCTCCCTCTCCCTTTCTCTGAAATCAATAAAGACATATTTTAAAAAATAAAATAATAAAATAAAACTCATATGACAGTTTAACAGATCCAGAATAGCCAAAAGTCTTGAAAAAGAACAAAGTTGGAGGACTCATACTTTCTAATTTAAAAACTTACTACAAAGCTGTGGTAATTACTGTGTTTTGAATGTTCATGTCCACCCCCTCACACCGCCACCACCAATTTGTATTTTTAAATCCTAACCACCAAAGGTGGCAGTAGTAGGTGGGGACTTCAGGAGGTTCTTTAAGTCATGAGGGTAGAACCGTAATGCCTTATGAAAGAGACTCCAGAGAGATCCCTAGCCCCTTCTGCCACGCGAGAGTATGAGAAGTCTGCAGGCTGAAAGAGAGCTCTCACTCAACCAAGCTCCATTATCTTGGACTTTCAGCCTCCAGAACTGAGGGATAAATGTTTGTTATTTATAAGTTACCCAGTCTATAGTATTTTATTATAGCAGCCAGAACAGACTAAGACAAGTGTGGTCATGGCATGAGGAGAGACATGTAGATCAATGGAATAGAATTGAGTGTCAACAGATAAACTCTCACATTTACAGTGAACTGTTTTTCAGCAAGAGTGTCAAGACAAGTCAATAGGGAAAGAGTGGTCTTTTCAACAAATGGTGCTGATAAAATTGTATATCCACCTACAAAGGAATGAAGTTGAACCCCCTCTCACATCACACACAAAAATGAACTCAAAATAGATCATAGACCTCCCGGCCGGCGTGGCTCAGCAGCTGAGCTTCGACCTAGGATCCAGGAGATCAGGGTTCGATTCCTGGTCAGGGCACATGCCCGGGTTGCGGGCTCAATCCCCAATCAGGGGCATGCAGGAGGCAGCCAATCAATGACTCTCATCATTGATGTTTCTACCTCTCTCTCCCTCTCTCTTCCTCGCTCTGAAGTTAATAAAGATATATTTTTTAAAAAAATAGATCATAGACCTAAATGTCTGTTTAAAAGTAATGTAATAGTAATTTAAGAATAGTTAGAGTAGCTAAAAGTATAAAAAAGCTAAAAGTATAAAAGTCTTACAAGAAAATATAGGACTAAATCTTTAAGACCTTTGGTAAGGCAGAGCCTTCCTAGACATGATACCAAAGCACAAGCAACTAAAGAAAATAGATAAATTGGACTTTATCAAAATTAAAAACTTTGGTGCTTCAAAGAACAACATCAAGAAAGTGAAAAGACAGCCCACAGAATGGGAGAATATTTGCAGATCTGTTAAGTATATTTTATCTTTAGATAAAAAGGCAAATAATCAATTAAAAATAGTCAAAAACTAAAAATAGTCTAAATAGAAATTTCTCCAAAAAGATATGCCAGTAGCTAATAAGCACATGAAAAGATGCTCAAAGTCATTAGAGAAATGCACATTAATACCACAGACATAAAACCAAAGAAGCAGATGATAAGTATTAGTCGAAGATGCGGAGAAATCAAAACACTCATAACTGCTGGTGGGAATATAAAGTGGTGCAGGTGCTGTGGGAAACACTCTGACACAGTCCCTCAAAGTGTTAAACCTCTAACTCAGCAACTCTACTCTGTGTCTACACAACAGCTTGTACAAGCATGATTCACAATAACCAGAAGGCAGAAACAACCCAAATGTCCATCCATTGATAAATCAATAAGGAAAATGTTTTATATTCATACAATGGAATATTACTCAGTTATGAAAAGAAATGGATTCATACTATAACATGGATGAACTTTAAAAACATGCTAAGTGAAAGAAGGTAGTCACAGAAATCACATATTATATGATTCCATGTGTATGAAATGTCCAGAATAGGCAAATCCACAGAGACCCAAAGTAGATTAGTGATTGCCCTGGACTGATGGGAGTTGGGGTTAAGTGAACAGTGACTGCTAATGGGTATGGGATTTTTCTTGAGGGGATGATGAAAATGTTCTAAAATTGATGGTGGGGATGGTTGAACAACCCTGTGAGTGTATTAAAAACCACCAAATTATACTGTATATACATGAAATGAATGAACTGTGTAGTATATGAATTATATCTTAATAAATCTGTTATATAAAAAACATACTAAGTGAAACGTTTGCAGAACAGTACATATTATATGAATATATTTTTGTAAATAATATATTTATTCATAACAAAACACTGTATTATTTTTAACTAGCAAAATTGCACTGGCTAGCATGGCTCAGTTGGTTGGAGCATCGTCCCAAACACTGAAAGGTCGAGGGTTTGATTCCCGGTCTGGACACATACCTAGGTTGCAGGTTCAGTCCCAGTTGGGGCATATATGAGAGGCAGCCAATCGATGTTTCTCTCTCTAAAATCAATAAACATATCCTTGGGTGAAGATTTTTTAAAAATTAGCAAGATTAGTGAAGCAGTGTAAAAGGGGCATCGGTATATATTCCCTTGCAGTAGTAGCTTTAATCACGTAACAGATCTGGTGTCAAAATTTCTTAACAGTAATTCATACCACCTAATTAATAAGATAACAACAGTAGCATTTATTGCATTCTTTCTGTATGCCAACATTTTGCTAAATTTTTAACATACTTTTTGTCACTTGCTTTTCACAACACCGAGTGATGGCCCCGTGTTTTCTGTTACTGTCCCCTTGTTTTCTATTCCCCAACATTCTGAAGTTTACACTCACAAAACTGTATTATTTATCAGAATATCAAAAATGCACAATTTCTTTTGTTGTTGTTAACAGTAGCTAAAAAGGTATTTATGTGATCTTAAGCAGTTCTAAGAGCATATTGGTAAGTCTGTATGTGTTTAAGTAAAGACTTTAAGAAGTTTGAACTAAAACATTTTGTATTTGTCATAGTTGATTCCTGATTGGAGGAGAAAATACTTTTTAGTTACTTGACGGTTTTTTGTTTAATGTAGTACTAAATTTGAAAGCCAATCATTGGCAAAGGTAGTTTTTAGAATCTTTTTTTCATTGTAAATATAGACTACTGTCTCAGTCAGTTTGGGCTGCTGTAACAAAATACCGTGGACTAGATGGCTTACAGTAAACATTTATTTCTCACAGTTCTGGAGACTGAAAGAACCTAAGATCAAAATGCCAGCAGAATTGGTTCTTGGTGATGGGCCTCTCCCTGGCTTGTAGACATCACCTTCTTGCTGTACCCTCACATGGAGAGCAGAGTGAGGACAAGCTCTGTGGTATTTTCTTATAAAGATACTGATCCCATCATTAGAGCCCTAATCTCGTGACCTCATTGCAACCTAAGCACCTCCCAAAGGCCCCACATCCAAATACCATCAGGGCTTCAACATATGAATTTGGGGTGTGGGAGACAGTTTAGTCCATAGCAACTAGCTATGGGGAAAATCTTGTCCGTAAATACTAACCCTAGCATTTTTTGTTTGTTTTTAGTGTTATGTGCCAAGAACCTTGCAAAGAAAGACTTCTTTAGTAAGTAAACACCCATTTCTCTCTTACATTATGAATGTTTTTCACATATTTCTGAAATTTTAAACTTGTTAAAAACACTGGTTGTATTCTCCTAAAAATCCTGCCCTTTTACTGGATAGAAATCCATGGTTTGACAAACTTCATTTCCCAGTTAACTACAATGTAGAGAGACTCCGCTCCAAGGCACAGAATGTATAACTCATACAAGGAAAACTGTCTCTCATTCCCTATTTCAGCCACACCCTGTTTTCTGTCTTTCCACCCATTAATATATTACTTTCTGCTGAATAAAGTGTTCTCAGCTCGAATACAGATGAGACATTTTTCTATAAAATAGTTGGGTTTAAGTAAAATTGTTGGTAACATTTTACAAATTAAATCGCATTTTAAAAGTTTTGTAATTAAAGAAATTGTAAAAAAAAAAAAAAAAATTTAGAGGATCCTTTTCTAATGAAAGGACTCACCCCTTAAACTCAAGATATCCAGCTACTATAAAGTGGATGCCTGCAGTTTGAAATTTTTCACCCTTTTCCTGATCCTCACAAGAACACTGCCCAGTTCTTAAGTGGTATTATTCATGCGTTAAAGATGAAGAAACCTAGAGTCACAGGCTTTATTCGTATAGCTAGGAAGCTCCAGCGAGGTGGCTCACATCCAGGTGTATCTCTAAAACCCTCACCTTGCCACCTCTCTGATCTTATAAACCTGCCTGATTCACTTAGGAACTTAACTAATTAAAACTGAGTGAATACTTGCTTCCAGAGATAAAACTGACAAAGCCAGTAAGCAAGATTTCTAAGTATTATTTTTTAGAGAGTGTAAATACAATTAATCACAGATACCTTTTTCTTCATTTAATTAGCCCCCCTTAGTGATCATCAAAAATGGGAATTTGAACTTAAGCCTATTTTTATAGCGTTTTTTTTCTAGCCTCTAAAAATCTGTATGTGATGTCATGCTGGGTTACCTTTCTTAGAAAGCTAAATAGAGCCAAACTAACCTTGAATTAGAGAATAAAATCTACTAGGGTAATCTTCTTTACCAAATTAGAGGATCTTGAAGCTCCTGGTAGCCTGCAAGACTGTGTTCTAATGTAAAATTGATAGATCTGTAGTCTCATCCAGGTGTGGCTGTCCCCTCTTCTCCAGGACTCCCTGACCCCTTTGCAAAGATTGTTGTGGACGGATCTGGGCAGTGCCACTCAACGGACACTGTGAAAAACACATTGGACCCAAAGTGGAACCAGCACTATGATCTGTGAGTTGAATATTCTGTAAGCCATTTGGGAGTGACAGGAAAGTAGGTATCTAGCGTTTAAGAGAAGCATTTCATTTTAAAAATAAATAAAAGGATTTATAACTTGTTATTGATAACAAAAGTAGATAGCCAAATCAATACCACCTAATTTTAGAATTCATATACTTGGAAGTTCTCTCATTTGACACTGTTATAGATTTTTATGGTTTGCTTCTGTAACTGATTTTCTATGACTTTTCAATCTGCTGACCACTCAGGTCCTCTATATGCTACTATTTTTTTCCAGTGAAACCCTAAACCTGATTTTAGAGTTTTTACTTTAAAAATACATTATTATTATACATATTCATTATGCAAATACATATTATATATATTTCTGTTGATTTTTAAAATTTTGCTTTTTAATATAAATATATTTTCTGTAAAAGAAAATATAATTTGATATGATTGAATGTATATAAACCTATGGACCATCAGACAATTTCTTACATTTGTTCATAAAATGGATTTCACTTTGAAAACCCCTATTTTTTATATACTTATGTTTTCATGTTCCTGCTAAGAAATTTTTATCAAAATAATACTGAATGATTATTGGTTTTTTATTAACATAAATTGTACTGGGTTTGGGCGGGATTTTTAATAGCTGGATTCTAAGGCTCACTTTCAGTTATACTGAGGTATTATAGTAGCCTGGAAAGTGGTTGTCAATTTCCTGCCCTGAAAGCTCCCCTCTTTAGCTGACTTGCACTGAGAGTAAGTGGGGGGTTAATGTCTGAGTTAGTACCCATTAGCATTCTTTGGATGGATCTATGGTTTATAGGTAGTCCCCTGTTGCAAACTAGTGTTCAATAGTAAGCCTAACATTAGCAGGAATTTATAAATCACGTCATTGTCCTTTGGACCTAATAAAATATAGTAAATCTCATCCCAGCCAGGTGGCTCAGTTGGTTGGAGCGTTGTCCCAACCAGAAAGGTTGCAGATTCAGTTCCCAGTAAGGGCACATACCTAGGTTGCAGGTTCAATCCCCAGTTGGGATGAGTACAGGAGGCAACCAATCAATGTCTCTCTCTTTCTCTCCCCCGCCCCAAAATCAATAAACAATATCCTCAGGTAAGAATTTTAAATATATGTATTATTATTTTATGTAGTTATCTACATTTGCTTCTTACATAACTGGTTATAGTTCTTTTCCCAGCCCGTTAAAATTAGTAGACATATATTTATTGAGTGCCTGCCACATGTGGAATATAGAACCAATGTTCCTTTAAAAGGATTCTTCTGTACTACCAAGTCAATCAGATAAAATCTCAGTGGGCTATTATAATTCAGAAATACAATTAAAAGTGAGTATGCATATTGTTTTTAGATATGTTGGGAAAACTGATTCTATAACCATCAGCGTGTGGAACCACAAGAAAATTCACAAGAAGCAGGGAGCTGGCTTCCTGGGCTGTGTGCGGCTGCTCTCCAATGCCATCAGCAGATTAAAAGATACTGGATGTAAGAACCAAATGCTTTTCTGCCTCTTCATGCAACTGAAGAAGGCTTATGAGGCATCTTTTTTTTTTTTAATACAGAATTCCTGCCTTCCTCCCTAGTTAACATTTCCCTGGGTTAAGTTTTGAATTGTTTGTTTGCAGACCAGCGTTTGGATCTATGCAAACTAAATCCCTCAGATACTGATGCAGTTCGTGGCCAGATAGTGGGTAAGAACTTTCTCATCTGTATAAAGAGATGCTTTTGCACAACTTAACATTCAACTCTTCATCACTGAGAAAACACATACAGGCACTGGCATGGTGACATACTTGGAAGGACAAACTATGTGCAGGGGCCATCTCTTCAGCACTGAAAGTTTCTTCCTGTGTACTTTTTATTATTTCATCTAATTCTCTTCAACCTATCACTCAAAGTTGAGTTAAAATGACTAAGGTACAAAGAGATTTAGGGTTATAATTTTAAATGTCATTTTAATCATCGCATAATGGATAATTAGTCATTTATTATCCAGAGGTAGTTGATAAGTGTGGCGGCCACATATGCGAGAGTTGAGATCGTTTTTCAGGAAAACCCATCATATCTGTAAAGAGCAAAGATGATTTCTGAGGACTTCCGTGTAGTATGATTTTACAGAGTTGGAGGATCGAATTATTTAGAATGAACAGATAAAATGTGCTGATGTTACAGTGTTGACTGGCCGTATTCTCTTGGAAGTGATTTATCTGTTAAGTAGCTCATCATACCATCCACCCAGTTTTATTAGCATTTTAGGGTAACTCTAAAATGCTGTATGCTGATTACATGCATTGCAAGGAATCAAAGAAAACGTGGTATTTCAGCAGCACACCAGAGTGACCCCAAATCTTTTAGGTATTGCCTATGTAGACTTGACCCAAGATAAATGAACAATGAGTATAGATCCTAAAATTCATAATGAAAAAGTTCTCACTGAATGCTTTTCTGTTTCTGATTTCTTTTATTTTTTTTTTGTGGAGGGATGTGCTGGGGGAAACGTAACTGGGAGCAACTTTATAAATGTCTTTGTTGTTCATAGTAACCACCGAGAATAAATATTTGGATTCATCTAGATTTTACAAATACTGAAAGTGCTCTCTGTGTCCTTACTAAACATGTAAAACTCTCCTTAAAGGGTAAGGTAACTTAGAGGAAGTGAATATTGTGTTCTGTTATGTTTATGGAGAGCACAAAAAATACAGCACCTCTTTCTGCTCCACATTTACAAGGAATGTTCCAGGCGGTATGTGGTGGTATGCAGCTACTGGAATAAAATACTTCATGCTTGAAAGCATAGGAATATATATGTGTATGTATATGCACACCTTGCTTTAAAAAATAATATCGTGCATAAATTATGCATTTGCAATGGCTCACTGTATTACAACTGTATAAAATACCACTGGATTTTAATGCAAGACGTTCTTTTCTGTTTTAGTCAGTTTACAGACACGAGACAGAATAGGCACTGGAGGGTCTGTGGTAGACTGCAGAGGACTGTTAGAAAATGAAGGGTACGTATCACCGTGGCAATGCCTGCTGAGTTCTCTGCTGCCTTAGGCTCTCGCTCTATATGAAAGTATCCTTCACACCTTTTCACTTTGCTGAATGCTTGAGATACAGGAAAGGACTTTGGGATAAAATTGGCATCCAGTTTCCTTGTTTATAAAGAAAGCTGTAAAATTAGTGGGGTTGTGCCCAAGACTCAGGATCCAATTTAAAGAGGTTCCCACTGCCCAAAGATGGAACAGTTTGAGCATCAATAAGAATTATAACTAATGGATTGAAACACATCAAGTATGTTAAAAATGAACTTTATGTGTTCATAATGGCACAGGAAGAGAAAAAAGAACCCTAAAATACTTCTTTTTTAAAAATACCTTGAAAACTCTCATTGGTCACTATCACAATTTTTCAGTCCCCAATGAATTAATGAAGCTGGTTGATAATTTTAATAGTTGTTAGCAACATCACAAAAGAGTGGTAATCTGACATTGAATACCTCTTAGAAATCTAGGAGACAGGAGAATGTGTTGCACAATCCCTAGGGAATGCAACCAGCACCATCTAGAAGGGGGCACTCAGTGGAGTGTAGAAGACACAGCCCAGTTCTTCACAAATACATGCTAGAAAAATAAGTAAATCACAAGGAAGGAAGAGAACCTATAAACTAATAATAAGAGACTTAAGAGCCATTCCTACTAAATGCAATGTGTGGACCTCGCTTGGATCCTGATGGAGACAGTTGACTGGAGAAATTTAACACTGACTGGTATTTGATGATATTTTAAAAAATTAATGTACACTTTTTAGTCATGATAATGGAAAAAGTCTTTATCTTCTAGAGGTATATGCTGAAATATTTAAGGATGAAATGGAAAATTGTTGGGGTTGGTTTCAGAATAATTCAGTAGAGAAGAGCAATGGGAAGAGTAGCTGTGAGATCGTCATTGTAGCAGAGTGATGAGTCCCAGAGATTCATCTCCCAATGTGAATATTTAATTTTTTTTAATGTAAAAATTTTTTTTTAAGTATTTGCTTATAAGGGCAAATAGCCTATTAAGGTAAATTGTCTTCAAAATTGCTCAGGGGCTGAAGATTTATGTTAGAGTACTTAAAGTTATTGCGGTGTTTTAGGTAACCTGGAGTTTTATTATAGAGGAAAATAAAAAGAAAAACGGAGTATTTGGATTTGACTTTAAATGAAGAAAAATCAAATCTCATTTCATAAGCTCCTTATAGTCCAAGGTTGGTTTTTCCAATCATTCAGCTTTACCCAATGATGAAATCCCGCAGGTGGCTTTGATGGCACTTTACATATGGCTCCCTTTAGCTACTTGTTTCTATGAAAGTCTCTATTTAAATAGGACAGGATGAATTTTATGAAACTAAGCACTTGGAACACTGTATATTACTCAAGAAAAGCAAAATAAATGGATGCAATGGCACCGTGTTGAATTTTCAGGTCCTTTCCTTGGCCAGTGTGCCCATGCGTGCTGTGTTCTACCCCCTTTCAGAACCGTGTATGAAGACTCAGGGCCTGGAAGGCCACTCAGCTGCTTCATGGAGGAACCCGCCCCTTATACAGATAGTACTGGTGCTGCTGCTGGTGGAGGAACCTGCAGGTTTGGGGAATCCCCAAGTCAAGATCAAAGACTTCAGGCACAGCGACTTCGAAATCCTGAGATCCGAGGGTCCCTCCAGACACCTCAGAACCGACCACATGGCCACCAGTCACCAGAACTGCCCGAAGGCTATGGTGAGAGAATTCACCCCGCTATCGTCAACGTTATCTACAGTGTTTCAGAGAACTTTAATTTTTTAGACCTTTTTTGGTAACTTGTACATGCCTTAGCTGCTGATGTTTGCAGAGCTGTACTGTACAGTGGTCGTGTCAGTGTACAGACAGGTAACCAGAAAAAGATGGTGATAAATCCTGCTCATCACGAATTTGCCAGCATTGTACCCGTCTCCCAGTTTAGCGATTGTGTGAAAATTTCAGGCAAATGAATATCCAAGAAAATCAGAACGGTCCGTGGGCTAGATGAGGGAATTTGTAGCACTCTCTGGCTTGAATGTGGAAAGGACAGTATGGGTTAAGAGTGAAAAGAAGGGATCATTTGACAACTGGGGAGGAGAAACTAACAAGGAGGAATGTGATTTAGATGTGGCACATCACATCATACCAGTGAGAGCAAATGGAGGGAATGGAGGTCAAGGTCAGTCCTGAGGTGGTGGATGCACAGCAGTGGCTCATCCAGGGCTCTGCTAGGTGAGAGCACCACCTCTCTAGGTGGGAACGGGAGAGAGGAAAACAGGCCCAAACGTGCACACAGGGCTGGCGGTGTGAGGAAGTCTGGCAGAGGTTAACCACTGCCCTTTTATTTCCTTTCCTGGGGGATTTTAAACAATGTTGAAAAGAAGCTTAGACTCTGTGCTTAGAGAACTGGTTGAAAACTCTCCTTGGAATTGAATTTAACTAATTGTATCCCCCAATTTCTTGTACAGAACAAAGAACAACAGTGCAGGGACAAGTCTACTTTTTGCACACACAGACTGGAGTGAGCACGTGGCACGACCCCCGAATACCAAGGTAGGTTTCTAAAATGCGCACCAAAACCAGTGTTCCAGCAGCTGCCTGGCCCCCTACTGTGGGTGAGAGCCCCCCTTAGGTTGGAAGATGGGGACTTGGAAGAGTGGCAACTCAAAGAGGATGTCTGCCACAGGGTCTTAGGCTCAGGCTCATGGGATAAAGTGGCAGCTGCTGGAACCGAGGGTCCTTCAGAAAGCAATCCTGGATCTTGAAATCAGGTCACATAACCAGAAAAGGCCCTCCTAGATGAAATGAAATGTGCTGACTTGGAAAGCCAGTAAACCCTTCAAGATGTGTCCTCATTTTAAACTAAAAACATTAATGGGTGAAATGATATGATGTCTGGGACTTGCTTCAAATAATTGGGGGGTCAGTGAATATAGGGGTATACAGTGGTGCCTCAGTTTCCAAACGTCTCCGCTGATGAACATTTCAAATTACGAACACCATAAACCTGTAAGTGATGCTTTGGTTTGCGAACATGCCTCAGAAGTTGAACATGCCCCAGAAGTTGAACATGCCCCATGGCTTCCACTGAGGTCAAGATCCTGAGGCCTAGGTGTTGGCTGCTGATCCCTCAGTTTCCGAACGTTTCAGAGCTCGAATGGTCTCCAGAGTGGGTCACATTCGGAAACCGAGGCACCACTGTATCTGAAATAGGCTGACAATGACTTGATGATTATTGAAGTTGGCTATTCATTATGGTTTCTCTACTTTTTTATATGCTTAAAATTTTCCATAATAAAGGATTAAAAGGAAATATAAAGACTCTGTTACCCTTTCTCTCTTCTACTTTACTGTCCCTATTGCCTCAGCCCCTTGGGGACCATTCCTGGGGGAGATGAAGCTTTACTATACGAATTCCTTCTACAAGGCCATACATCTGAGCCCAGGTCAGAGAGATCCCCACCCCCACCCCATAACAGAGTTATGTTTCTTTGCTTTGCTTTGCTTTGCTTTTTTAATTTTTTGTTTTAGAGTAGCATTACTACCTAATAACATTTTTTTAGTAATGCTCATTTCCTTTTTATTCATAATTTGTTTCATCTGAGAACAAGATTCCTGTCTTTGATTTTCCAACTCTGTGTTAAATTTATGATTCAGTATCTATAATTAGAATGGAAATATTACCTGCAAATTGATGAGGTGTCTCTTCAGTACCCACTATAAGAAATGTCAGGCTTTTGTGCTAATTAGAAAAGCATCTTGGTCAGTAATGCTGTGGATTGTATTGAAATAATTAAGAGGTTGGATTAGAAACAGTTACTTAACAAAACCAACTAAAACATGAGAATACCTCTTCCCAGTGCAGCTGTTTAGAATTGTGAGATTTCGAATGCATGTTAATACATCCCATCAGCTTTAAAAAACTTGTGTTGTCTGGGGGCTTTTTGATGAAGCAGCCTTTCTGACCTTGAGCATTTCATTTAACCTGTGAGTTCAGATAGTTTTCCAGCAGCATTCAGATACCTCCTACTATTTGGCCCTCTTTGGTATAAGAAGTGATGTTCCCTGGGTAGACCACATTCCCTCTCATGGTTATAGGCTCTGAAAGTTTCATTTTTATCTGTTGGACTTTGCTGCCACTTGCAGCTCAAGCTCAGAAGCCTGGATTCAGTGGGAGTTTGGCGTAAGTAGCTCCATGACTGTCCCTCTTAGCAGAACTGGGACATGGCCGCACTGATAAGGAAGGGACTCCTGAGGCTGCTCTTGCTGAGGTTTTGGTTGGATGCCTCCACTCTCAGATCGACAAACCTCTCTGTATCTTCCATTTTGGTAGAGACCTTAACAGTGTGAATTGTGATGAACTCGGACCACTGCCACCAGGTTGGGAAGTCAGAAGTACAGTTTCTGGGAGAATATATTTTGTAGATCATAATAACCGAACAACCCAGTTTACAGACCCAAGGTTACACCACATCATGAAGTGAGTAAGACTGTTACACAATCTTTGTTGACTTCTTATGTCTATCCTTTAATGTTTTCTCATAGCTTTCTTAATTTATCTACGGCATTGTTCGTTAGTAATGTGGATAAGCGAAATATGATAAATACTTGGTGGGCAGTTGCATGTTTTAAACGCTCAAGGTAGCTGTGAGCAACACTGAAGTCTTGTTGCTCTTGCCACCCTATTCCGCCTGCAGCCGAAGTTAAATTCCCTGAGATGGCAGTATTAGGCAGGCTCGTTAATGAAGTTGCCACACTCAGACTGTGATGAAATGTGTGGCTTTTGTGTGAGAAGCAGTAGAATGAGGTTTCTCCTCAGTGCCCGCTCATCAGTCTCTGAGGACTGCCACAGTCAGTAATGCCCTTGCTCGAGCTTTCCCTGTGCCTGTCATTCCCGGGTAACTTGGAACTGGGCATGATCTTGGCTCCCACGTTGTGTTCCAGGTTTGTTGTATAGTGCCCACCACCACTGTAACCTGTTTTTCAAATGTTTCACGTCAACTCCATTTAATTCTAACCACCAAGGTACATCTAACAGTGTGTTGGTCAGTCTCAGATACATATTAGATGATAAATGATAACAATTGCTGTTTTTATTTATAGCAATGATAAGGTCTGAGCTAAGCTGTTGCTTGGAAGTGGGGTAGCTCCTTTATTGCATCCCAGAACTATACTTGGGCTAATGGTGACCACCCACAATTTTTACATGCCCATGTCATCAGAGAGAAAAAATGTCTACTTGAAGTTCTGTATAACAAACTCTCTTCTCGGTCCCTTTGGTGTAGGGGGCATTGCTTGCAGCTCCCTTGGCCGCTGCTTTTGGAGTGATTTTGATGCTTCTGTTCTTCTCAAGTCACCAGTGCCAACTAAAGGAGCCCAGCCAGCCGCTGCCGCTGCCCAGTGAGGGCTCAGTGGAAGAGGAGGAACTTCCTGCCCAGAGATACGAAAGAGATTTAGTTCAGAAACTGAAGGTCCTCAGACATGAGCTTTCACTTCAGCAGCCCCAAGCTGGTCATTGCCGCATAGAAGTATCCAGAGAAGAAATATTTGAGGTATGGAATTTAATGCAACTAACAGTCAGGCATAGACTCTGCATTCATGTTAATGAACAAATAAGGTGATTCAGCCTGAGGAGTTGCCTCCTGAGTAACCTTTGTTTTTGAGGTGGTGCTCTAGGGACCTGCCCTGTAGCAATTTCTGCATTTCAGCAAGCTCTTCTTTCTGTTTGGTATTTCAGGTATTGGGTTTATTACTCTGTGAAATGCAGGGTTGTGTCAGGACCAGTGCCCATGTAGAGAGGGAACTGTATTTACTCATGTCGCAAAAGTTTAAAAACTTAGATGGTTTCTGAGGTGAAAACCTAGAGATGGCCCTGGCAGGTGTGGCTCAGTTGGTTGGAGTGTTGACCCATGCACCTAGAGGTTTGCCTGTTCAATTCCTGGTCAGGGCACATGCCCTGGTTGCAGCTCGATTCCCAGGAGGGGGCATGTAGGAGGCAGCTGATCAATGATTCTCTCTCATTGATGTTTCTCTCTCTCTCCCTTCCTCTCTCTCTCTAAAACTCAATAAAATTATATTAAAAAACAAAACCAAAAAAATCCTAGAGATGTATTCAGAAAGTGGAACTAAATATTGTAAATCCCCTTATCGACATTATTCATTCCTTCAATCCTCAGTTTCCTCAGACTTAGTCATTCCTTCTGCTGTGGCCTCACAGAAGTTTGATCTAACGGCACTGCCTCCTCAGAGCTTAATGGCCAAGCGGCCACCTTGTTGTCTCTTCTGGAAACAGGAAGGTCAGATGGTTCCTGGGAAAGCCTCTGGCCCTTATAAAGCCCCCTGTGGGATCAGGGTCCCTAAACAGGCAGGACCCTCTTGTATACAGGGCTCTTTTCTCAAGGAGCATGACCATAATGTAAAATCTCAGCTGTGTTTTGTCCATAACCTGCCTGCCTTTGTGGAATCATTGGCCAACATGAACAGATGCAAGTGGGTAAGGACTGAACACAGATTGTCACTGGGCCGCAGCCCCTGAGGGAGCCTAGCGCCCCTCTATAGCAAAAGGCACAGGACGCGCCCAGAGCCGCGCTTGATCCTCACACACGCCAGTGTTGGACAAGTGGGTCTGCTGAAGTGCGCAGTTTTGCGCATTGAGCAGTCTGAAATGGTTGCCAGGGTTAGAAAAGAGCTGAATTATTGATCATTTCCACTCAACCTCCTCCCTCCCTCTTGGGATGGCAGAGTTTGAATTACATTAAATTTAAAGCATGAAAAGATTTTTTAAGTGCCTTATCAGTTGAAAATATCTACAAATACTTAGCTAGTACTACTCAAAATGCTGAATCTGAGAGAATATTGGGCTGACCATGTGTTTTCTGTTTTGGGTAAGCTTCAGATTTAAAAATAGGCTTAGAATTCTTTTAATATTCAGACTCTCTAGTGATGTCTTCATTTTGGTTAAAATATATAGCCAATCCAGGTAACTCAGTTGATTGAACATTGCCCTGTGCAGCAAAAAGTTGCTGGCTGGATTCCTGGTCAGGGCACATACCTGGGTTTCAGGTTTGATCCCCAGTCAGGGTACATACAGGAGGCAACTGATTGATATTTCTCTCTCTCCCTCTAAGAGTGTCCTCAGGTGAGAATTAATATATGTGTATATATATATATATAT